GGGGGGGGCGGGGGCGGGGGGGGGGAGGGGGGAGAGGGGGGGGGGGGGAGGGAGAGGGAGAGAGAGAGAGAGAGAGAGAGAGAGAGAGAGAGAGAGAGAGAGAGAGAGAGAGAAAACGATAAAAGCAGTGGGAGGGAGAGGCATAAAATTGTTTTTGTGAAACTAGTTTTTTTTTTAGCTTTACATTTTGGTTTGTAGTGTACTTTTGGAAATAAACCTATTATAGGTTTTGACGTGAAATCAGGATTGAGAAATTCCTTAAATAATTTTAATGCTACACGAATTACCACTACTACTTCATTACCTATGAATACGAGAAATCAATTGTCTACTTCTTTATTGAATAATAAGAATTTGAAGAATCAATTTCAAAAAAATAGTAATTGTGTAAGTTTTGACTTCGAATCTTCCGATTTTAAAAAATTAAAGCGATTAAATTGATATTAATGAATAAAAAATTAATGATAAATTAGAAATCAATACAAAAAAGTTTATCACGAGACTATTCCACATCCAAAGTATCTTCATCCATCAATGAATCATCAACAAAAGTGAAGGAAGCTCCCTCCATTGACTCCGCGAAAATTACCACTACTGTAATCCCAACAGCGATAACCAAAAATTCAAACAATAAAATCGAAAGCGCGACCGCTGATTGGAAAATAATAAAACATCTTGCTAAATATTTATGGCCTAAAGATGATTTCTCAATTAAAGCCCGTGTTGTGATTGCATTATCATTGTTGATTGGAGGAAAGGTGAAAAATCAAATAATAATTCAGTCAACTTATTAAATTTCAATTCATATTTTTAATTATTTTGCTTCTTTCATTACGAATAAAGATTCTGAATGTCCAAGTACCATTTTTTTTCAAAAATATTATCGATTCTTTGAATGTTGACACAACCCAAATGGGCACCGTTTTGACCGTAGCTGGATCGGCTCTTATCGGATGTACGTAACGTGCGAGAGCATGATTGTAGTTTTTTTTATTCCGATCTATTATTAAAAGAATGATATTTTTTGTCTTCTTGTAAATAGATGGTCTTGCCCGTATAGGAGCAAGTGCATTTAGCGAATTTCGTAATGCAGTTTTTGCTAAAGTCGCCCAACGGTCAATTAGAAGAGTAGCCAGAAACGTGTTTTTCCATTTGCATCAACTAGACCTCGGTTTTCATCTAGCCCGACAGACGGGCGGATTAAGTAGAGCTATTGATCGTGGTACAAAGTATGTTTGGTTGCTGATTGTTTCTATTTAATAATATTTGAATTATATCCTTTTAATAATTTTTAATCTTAATTTTTTCGATTATAGAGGTATCAGTTTTTTACTATCGTCTTTGGTATTTCACATACTGCCAACTGCACTTGAAATAACCATGGTTTGCGGTATATTGGTGAGCAGGCAGTATTCATTGCTTAATAAAATTTTGACAAAATAAAATGCTAATGATACCAATCATTATAATAGGTGCATCAATTTGGAGCGCAATTCGCGACTGTAACATTATTGACTATGTCGGTCTACGCGGCATTTACAATTCAAACAACTTCATGGCGGTATGCTTTCCTTCTAATTGGTCTATTTTTATAAAATCATTATCCAATTAAATACGATGATCAATCACCTAATTAAAAAATAAAAGCACGAAATTCCGCAAGGAAATGAACAAAGCAGATAACGAGGCAGCCACGGTTTCATTGGATTCCCTTATCAACTTTGAAGCAGTTAAATATTTCAACAATGAAAAGTTTGAAGCCGAGCAATACGACAAAGCACTCTCCAAATATGAACAAGCATCTTTGAAAATAGCAAGTTCTTTGGCATTTTTGAATTTTGGACAAAATATCATTTTTAGTACTGCTTTGACTACGATGATGTTTATGGTGGCCGATGGGGTAATTAAAGGTAATTGTTAAATATTATTGTTTAATTGAAGTCATGCAATGTGTCTGACTTTTCTTTCGGTATGATGAATTAACGAGAAAATTTCGTTTTTTTAATTAAGGAACTTTTACCGTGGGTGATGTTGTCATGGTCAATCAACTTGTTTTTCAGCTTTCAATCCCTTTGAATTTCTTGGGCACGGTTTATCGCGAGCTAAAGCAAAGTTTGGTTGATATGGATGCAATGTTTAGTTTACAATCTGTTCATGTCGATATAAAGGTAATTAATTACTGTTGTCTTTCTCTTTCTTTTGGATTCAAATTTTTTTTAAATTAATTCTTTGTTAGGATGCGCCAAATGCCAGAGATCTCGTGTTAAAAGGGGGTGAAATTAAATTCGAAGATGTGATATTTGGGTATCATCCGGATCGTCCAATCTTAAAGGGCGTAAATTTTATCCTGCCAATGGGTAAAAAGATCGCTGTGGTTGGTCCTAGTGGCTGTGGGTATGATTATTATTAGTAGTTTAATCAATTTTGCTTTACACGTATAATTTTTATATAATCCATCAAAGATGATAATATCACTATTGTCCCGTAATCTTTAGAAAGTCGACGATTCTCAGACTTTTATTCCGATTCTATGACCCGAATGCTGGCAATGTTTATATTGATGGTCAAAATATTAGAAATGTGACCTTGCAAAGCTTACGGTCGAATATTGGTGTCGTGCCACAAGTAACTATTTTATTTTACGCTTTTTGACATACACTCGTATATATTTAATACTCATTTAATTTATTTTAAGGATACAGCTCTTTTCAATAACACCATTTACCACAACATTGCATATGGTTGTTTAACGGCCACCCGAAGTGAAATCGAAGCTGCAGCAAAACGTGCAAACATCCACGATGTGATCATGTCACTCCCCGAAAAATATGAAACACGTGTCGGCGAGCGCGGCTTAATGCTCTCCGGAGGCGAAAAACAACGAGTTGCTCTAGCACGAACAATCTTAAAAAATCCACATATTCTCTTTTTTGATGAAGCTACCTCGGCGCTCGATTCTCACACCGAACAGTCCCTACTCGCAAATATAAAAAATATTTTGCAAGAGACCGGAAAAACTAGTATTTTTGTTGCGCATCGGCTCCGGTCGATAGCAGATTCTGGTAATTTTTTATTTCTTTATTACATTATATAAATGATTATTATTAACAAGATTTTCTTTAAAAAAATAGATATTATACTAGTACTCAAAGATGGTGAAATAAAAGAACAAGGTCAACACGATGAATTGATACAAATTGAAGGTGGAATTTATCGTGATATGTGGCTTAGACAAGAATCGTTTTTGGAGGGTGAGGAAACGGATTAGTGTTGCTTATGAGCGGAAAAAGAAATAAAATGTGCATGTCTCTTATTCATATTTATTTGTGTTAAAAAATCATATTATATAAATTTAACTTTATCATTAAATTGTCTTTTGTATAGCCTTATCGCGTATTCTTTTCTTATTGAATAAATTATTATTCGAAACAATAATTTAATATATAAACTTACTTTATTATAATTCACTTATGTATAACCAAAAAAATGTTATTTTATGAATACGAATAAAGAATCGAAACAAAACAAAATATATTTACCAATGTTCCGAATGGTTTCGCGCGGGATAATAATGCATCCACTGAACCTTAGCGCCTTGATTAAAGCTTCCCGGGTTGAACGTATGACATTCGGTATAATCGAATGCGTATTGTGGAAAGTGGTCTGCCATTATGAACTGTATGTTGTTGTGTGTATTTAATTTTTCGCGTTGTCAACGGGAAAATTCTTTTATATCACATACCCTTACGTTGAGGAAAGAAGGGAAGACACGTTTACTTACTGCATTTGGTAAGGGGTATATTCGTAACGCGTGATCGAATTCCCAGTATACTGGGCGAACACTAAGTTTGAATGGACTTATGTGACTTTGATCAATTATTGATTTAATAACCTAAGTAAAGGATTAAATTTAATTTGAAAAACGAAAAATTTTACATGACTTGGGCTATTGAGAAAAATTTCAAACCTCTTGATAATAACAATCCGGGTCATTATTTGAGTTTCTCAATAACAGGTTGCGATGAAATTTATCTATTACATCTTCTCGATATATCAATATTTCTTGTGTCAAAAACTGTATTCTTGTGGGAATGATCAAATTAATAATAAATAATTGTAATAATATCAAGGAATACAAACCAATCAATATACCTGCATGGATTTGACGTAAACACTGCCTTTTTAACATATTCTTTAAACCTTGACGTATATCGCTCGGGTATCGGCATGTAAGGCAGAGCCCCGCCCACGTAAGGATCGCAAGGCCCAGGAACAAAGATGAAGTGTGAATGATTTGCGATATTTTCGAATTCTGAAATTAGTTCTCCTAGTGCACTAAACATTTCTAAATTATTACAAAAGGTGAGAAAGGTTATATTTATATGCATAATTATATAAATGATGAATAGCATGTTTCCAATCTCTTCATCTTCTCGTTATACCGGTATATCGTCGACTCCGCCCAATACAAAGTTTAAATGGCTCGTATGAGAAATTTCCAATGAAAATAAATGCGAATGGGGTCATCCCGTTCTTGTGATACTCTTTAAACATTTTTCGAAGTTTCTCTAAAGTCTAAATGAAAATGATAACATCAAAAATACTTGTTAATTTAATATTATTGAAATCTATTGATTTACCTGTTCTTCGTCAAGCCAGACATCCGAGACAACGACAAACATGATATGCTGCCATTTCTCTTGATATAGCATTAACAATGACTATTTGAGTATGTCATTAATAATTTTATTAATTGTGTTGATTTAAAAAAAAAAAGATGAGGTGACGATACATAATATATACACCTCATTTGTGGTTTGTTTCTGGATACCCAAAAAATCAACATTTCCGTAAGCATTTCTGAAATTTTTACAAGAAATAACAAATTTATTAATTACATGATATCATTATAATAATTATTAATGATATAGTTATAATATTACTCGAGAGAAATCTAATAAATACCTTGTCTCTGACCTTTTCTCAACTGGTGGATTCCCGATATACAACGCATGAAATATTTCTGTTTCTTCATTGTATGTCCCATTTACTAATTGAAAACAGTATGATGTACATATACTAGATGGTGCACTCTATTTTTTGGAATTAAAACAGTGACGTGTCAGAAGCAAACAATAGCATAAACAATAAAAAAATTATATGATTTTAATATTACTATTTCCGAGAAATCCAGCTCGATTCTATCATCTGCATCTTCCAAGTAGTATTTTCCTTCGTTTGTTTTTGTTAACATTCCAAATAAAAGGAATTCCTTTTGCGTTCTACCACGTAGATCTTTAATGCTTGTTAGCTAATTAAAAGATGTTGTCATTAAGAAATATAAAGATAAAACGGCAACGCTATAAACATTAAATGCTACATGAAATTTTGCAGAATCCGTATTATCGAAGCGAACTGGTGAAAATAACTCGTTTCTCAATAATCTTTGAACTAGGAGATTGTAACGTCCTTTGAAGAGAGTAGAGCGGCTGGTCTCATCGCCAATAAATTGTGGGGGTTTCTCAACGCTGAATGTACAATAAGTAATTAAAAGAATATGCGTTTTTTAAAATTCAAACTTGTTTAAAAAGAAATGATGTTTACCTCTTAAAATTCTTGATAGATGGTTCATATTCTATCCGCGGCATGTCAAAAGAACTAATCACAGTAAAGAACTTATCATAATCAATATCGAAGCTGTCTTCGTCATTTTCCGAATTATTTTCTTGCGTTTTCGCAACTTGGAGACTCGTCACCAGTTGTTTTAGTTTCTTTCGCGTGACTATGCCAACTTGTTCACACAAAAAAATTATTTTCTCAAGTTAGAATGGAGAAATTACTTATAATATTATAATATTAAAATACCTTTATTTTGCTTAATATATTCTCGTGCTATATGTAACAAGGCCGCTCGCTCCTCTTCTTCGGGAACTTCATTCCCTTTAAAGATTCCTCTTGATATTTCTGCAGTTGGAAAATCTTTTAAACTATATAAAGTTCTTGAGAGTTAGTTATACTACCAGATCATAATTTTCTAATTAACATATAGTAAAAGTTGATTCTATCAGTTTATTTACTAATAAATCTAAGTGATATAAATGATATCTTTTACAATAGCCAATTATTAATTTTTATCTATTCATAATATGAAGTTAATACAAGCTCTGTCACTTATATGAATAACTTAAATTCATTGATGCAAGATGTCTACTTTGATAAATATTGAAAACTAATAGTCAGATCAAACATATCTAGATCCTTTTAATTAATAGAGATCCAGATGAAAATCTCTACCATATGAAAAATATCTTTAAATATTATAGAATATTTTACATATTTGATCTCAATTATCTCTCAGTTAGAATACATGCTTCTGATCAATCAATATATAATCTAGTTAAGCATAGCATGATAATACTTTCTTGAAAACTTGCTGGAATAACATTACTAATCAATAAATATGATTTCTATCTTAATTCTCAAGACTAAGTAATTAATTCAAAGCTTGTAATGAAAAACTTTTGTTATATCAGGAAAATCTTATGTACTCTTTAGAAATGGGATTCTATCTTTAGGAAGACCATTATAGCACAATATACTAATCAAAAAAACTCTTCTTTTGCTGATATTATATTTTTAGAGCATGCTAAAGAAAATACTAATGAATCTATATCTTGACAATGGCTAGAAAATCATATCAAAATATGTCAATACTCTTTTGACATCAAAAAATAT